CCTTACTTCAGAACAATAATTATCCTGGCATATTGCTTTGAACATATCCGCCCAAATTGTATTTGCATTCGAATGAAATGTTGCACTGTCATACATTTTTACACTATGAGTTTACAAAAAAGAGTATTGACTGTTGAACATTCTTCTGTACACTTTTAACAAACATATATCCTTTAACTGTTGCTGGATTAACGTTCTTGCGATAACTACAACGGCTTTGAGTATTAGCAGTTGGTTTTTGACAAATTACCCTGCCCCCAGGCAACTTTTTTACGCGTTGTGTCGTCAGTTTCTCTGAACCAGAAAGAAAGGGGAGGACGTGTGTTTGTACACGGGAACAGAATGGGAGAATCGACCTCCATCCAAGGTCCACCTGGGTACAAAAATTGTATTGATGTCTCTGACGTTAGGGCGTAAACTTATGGAATTCGTGACTGGTAGAGAAATTGGGGGAAGCTTTTAGAACACCGTGGATCCTTTGATAAAACCACGACGTATCCGCGTTGAAATCAGGTCAGAGGTGTGAAGGGATGGGTCCAGCATCCTGTGGTGCGTGTATCTTTGCTTTCGCTCAAGGACTTTTATATGACGAGATGGAAATCTTCCCCGACTGGTATTACATCGTTAACTTCCCCTCTGCAGGGTGTAAGTCACGCTCCTGCCTGGGGTAAGTAATGAGGAGGAATTGGACCGTGGCATTCTTGGCATGGTTGACTCGTGACGTTTCCTCTTCAAGAAAGGGACTAGCACTGAAGTCCTTTTATTCGAGTTGTATCCTTAGAGACGGACTGTGCACGGACGGCCAACCTATTCCTTGGCTGTTGGTGGGTGTACCTGTGGTGAGTGTCTTAATTGGTTCCCGTCATAACACACGTGGGTGATGACAAAACCACAAATGCGTTGTGGATGCTGTTCAAAGCATGCAAATTTTAAACGTATTGAGATAAATATGTCTTTCACTTGGAGTTCCAGCAGTCTTACCCACTAAATGGAATTAATTGTGAGACACCTGACAAGGTAAGGCGAATCTTAAGACATTGGCCTGATGTCGTGCGGAGTATTTGGTCATATTCCCCTGCTCGTGATAATTTTGTGTAAAAGTTCTTAAAGGTGCCATCTCTTTGGTATGTTATGTTTTAGAATTCGTCGTCGACCATATTGTCAAGCTATCGATACCAATGTCTTTGACCCTCAACATTAACGGATCGGTGACTCAAAGAATGTTACAAAAAGTTTACTTTGCACAGTTTCGAAATCTTCAGCTTATGTTGGGCGCGGCCCAAACTGAACTCCGGGTTACTGTCCTCCTGTGGTTTACTGTAATACATGTATATGATTTATCATTCAACAGAAATTCCCGTCCAGAGGGAATAGACAGTCGTTAGTCTTTCAGATTAGAGTAGACGTAATACGCCCTATAATCGCATACCATCATCGGTATGCGTTTGATTAATGCAACAAGTGGCACTGTCCTTGGGTGGTTTGTGAAGTCAAGAGAGGTGTGCACGAACGTACACGAACTCAAGAGACTGTGTAGTCGTACATTGTTTTTGTACAATAAATGTTAAGTAGAAATTTTTTTAAATGTCTATAGGATTAGACTTGCACGGTGAAATATACATGTAAATATACACGGAGCACATTTTGGTCAGATTTCCGCGTTCAACTGTACTGTATTTAACCGTTTAAGCCAGCGTCACTGAACTTTGAAGCTTGTGTTTGTGTTGATTATTGCTTTATTTTGGTTTCAGTCGAGATTCAGTCGGCTGCAGTTCTTCCAGTGTAAACCTGCTTTATTTTGCCTTTCATAAAGAGTCAACCTGTCTGTAAATAGCAAGACGGATTCAGTCGCAGCACCTCCATGGTTGTTAAAAAAAGCAATGAGGGTGGTAATTTAATACACCAGTCTGCAACTTCTTCACTGTTATTTTGTCGGTGTACTTTTACGAGCCCCCCCCCCAGCAAGTTATACCAGGGAGGGAAATAAAGCGCGTCGGAAGTACCAATTACAAATCGTTTCGGGCCATTGTCGTTTTGCAAGATTGCATGCCTGATGTTCACCATTGGAGGGGGTCCATTGCATCATCTTCTCTACCGAACTCTTACTCCAGTTCATGAATGGTTTCGTTCAAACCAGTACAATTCAAACACAGACTGCAAATAGACGTGGGTCCATGGTAAGTATGGCTCTAAGCAAGAATAAGATAAAAATAATAAACTTTATTGTAATTAACTTAAGTCCAAGAGCATTTCATTGTCTTTGCAAACGAAAAACTTGGTTTTATAGTTGCTTGCCGCCAAGAAACGGATCATACGGCTTAAAATTTTTTTTTATCCATTCATTTATTTATTTGTAGTAATGGGTCTATCACTATACCATCGACTTCGTAAACCTTGTTTGAAAAGGTTTGAATTGAAGAAAATGTCCGTGGGCTTTCGGTGGTATTTGCACACGAGATCTCCCATTTCTGGAATGTAGGTTCTGCCACTCAAACTCATGAGAACACTCTATCTTCCATGATCTTTCAACGATCGGATGCCGAACCGCAGGCCTTGCGGTTTTCTATGGCGAACAAGGGTCAATATTGCACCATCCGGAAGTCTCTTGGGTTAGCTGGGGCTGATTAAACACGGGAACCGAACCACGGGATTGTTTGTCCTGCTGCAAATTCAAAGTCTGTATACAGAGAAATCACAATAGATATGTGGAACAATTGCTATGGCTTTTGATCCAAACCTCTTTGTGTACGTGTACACAAATACAGACTCCTTTCAGCATCACGTGAGCAGTGTAACGGCCAGTCGCAGGGTTTTTTAATTTATTGAGGCAACGGCCGACTGAAAGTGTTTACTAATTTTTTTAACGGCTGCTTTCCCCCACCCCCCAAAAAAATCCCGATAGCTTTTCGAAAAGAAATTCGGCTCTGGATTGGAAATTTCTCATTACCCACCATATTCGTTTCTGCCCTGATGAATTAGTTGTTCAGACTGAGGTTTAAATGCGTGTATTTGAAGTACATTGTATATCTGACCAAAAAGAAACAAACGTTGGCTTCAAAAAAGGAAGGTTTTTTAATTTCTTCGTGGAATATTATACATTTACCATGTATACATGCACGTGTCTGAATGGTACGCGTTGTACATGTACATGTACAATGTACATTGTACATGTACACATGCACTGTACATGTACACGTACTGTACATGTACGGTATATGTACTGTACATCATGTACTGTACGTGGCGTTATAGGGCCCAACGCGTTGGGTCCAGGACCTATTCTTTGTGCATGGATATGTGAGCTGTCAGGCAATTCGAAACCCCGCCCACTCACCGGCCGGCGCACGGATCTCGTACACGTCTTACCACCGCCGCGCCGAGCTAGATAGATTGGACGTTCATTCCACGGTTATCATCGCACCGTAACCGGTCGGTCGGGCACGGCATGCAGCTCTCAAGCTAGCTCTCGCGATCGAACAGCTACATGTACATGTATAGCTTAACGACCAAATAGGCTCTACACGGAAAGAACTGCTGGGTTCTCAGGACATGAGCAAAAAAACACGGATTTTTATTACATGGATGAAGTTCACCCGGGTGAAATCTCAATCTCAAGACCAGTCTCGGAGGTATTTATTTTTTTTTTCATTTTGAACATTCATAAATGAAATTAATGGTTGGGACGTACATGTATTGTAACGATCGGTGGGGTTTATTGTGCTTGAAAGTTGAATGTGTACGTTAGCTCTGCATGATGATATGCATTGCCAGCCATGGCCAGCACTGGACATGGGCCACAAGAATATCAGATTGGATCAATTATGTCAAAACATGAGTAGTGGATGGTCAAATATATGCATAAGTTGACGGCTACAACAGAAAAAACTTTTTAAAGACACTGTGATGATGAAGTTTCAAATAAATTTCCCATCTCGGCAAGCATGGCATGGTGTACTGTTCTGTATACAGAGATCACTAATTTTCCCTTGCATTGGTTCATTGGTCATAGCATGTCTTAAAAGTAAAATTAGCAGGAAAAAAATTAACATTGAAGCATTTCCTTAGAAAACACTTGGAAATTTTATACCAGTCTCATAGGATTTGTGCAAAGGTCAAATGATGTCCGTATGTTGAACTCTTTCCCTTTCTTTGTATCAGCTGGTATTTTCAAAGGGTTCATGTAAAGCAACAGTACATGTACATGTACATGGGTTTTGTCTGTTGTTGTCTCCAATACGTTTTTGCTGGTGTGCTGCTTGCGTGGCATGTTACACGTTGGAACTTTGAGGAAATTAGAAAATTCATAAACTGGTTGTTACAAAATGACAGATCGGAGTTTCATATGTTCAATAAGGCATAACTCACTGTGACTAAGAGATAAGGTATTATCACTGAGACCAAAGGAAAATCATTTCTTGGAGTTTTAACCAAAATGGATAATGAAAGCATGATTTCTGAACAAAACAATAGAAAATTATATTACCTTAAAAACCGATACCGTTACTTAAATACTACTTTTAACCAGCAAAGACAATGTCATAACAGCGTCTGTATTTCTATAGGCTGTCCTGTGAATGTCTGGTATGACCACAGTTCAGGTTATCTGGTAGAAAAACCCTTCCTGTGGTTTACATGTACATGTACCTCCACGCCCATTATGTTTTGTCATTACGACAGAAATTTCACAGACAGGTCACAACACAGCAGTTGTCTGAGAATTGAGCACTGCTTGATTACCTTATCAGCCAGGTCAATCTAGATCTACTCCACTGGTCAAGCGTTCACACTACACTGACCAAACCAAATACACAGTGCAGGATACACTGCCTGGCAGTTTCCATTGTTCAACATCATACAGACAAGGATTTTGCCTCTGTGTATTGAATCAGGTAATTTACCCCCTCATTTTTTATCCTTTGTGTTGCAGATATTCACTCAAGCTGCCTGTGAAAGGAGTCAAAAGACCCCGAAATGCCCATGAGAGTGGTTTTGACTGCAAACTAGACAGACAGCCTGTCACAGCAACACCAAAGTTTGGAATGGAACTGGGGTAGCTCATCAGAAGATATTAACTATGGCCACATGTACTCTACAGGGGAAGAAGTTCTACTGCCGGGAGTGGGCATTCCAGAAGCTGCTGCACAGTCTGGAGAGCAGACCAGCCTCCAAGACATGTGGCACTCTCATCATGGGTGGGCCAGGCAGTGGCAAGACTTCCATATGCTCCGAGGTAGTCTGGCCCACATCAAACCATGGCAAGCAGAAGAGCCTCAACAAGCGGATGCTGGCCTACCACTTCTGCCAAGCACATGACCTGGACACCCTCTCCGTACCCAACTTCATCCTGGGACTAGTTAGTCTGATTTCAAGATCAACGTTGATCCATGGATATGATGAAAAACTACGCAATCCTAATGTGCAGGCAGTTTTGGAACCAGCTGCCTGTGAGAAGAATCCTGATGAAGCTTTCAAGAATGGAATATTGCAACCACTGTGTTCTCTGAATCCCCCCTCTCGGAATTGCTTTATCCTTGTGGACTCTATTGATGAGGCCTATCCAAGGCTTGACGGTGAGAGATGCTCCACTAGTAGAACTATTGCAGAACTCCTTGCTAATCACCACGAACTGTTTCCATCATGGCTGTGCCTAATATGCAGTGCACGCCGTCAGAGCAAATCAGTAACCCGTATGTTTACTGGGTTCAGAAAATTGAGTCTTGATGACTTACGGAAATCGCATGTGGTGCGCGATGTACAGCAGTATATTCTTTGCCGCCTGGATCGAGAGGAATTGCTCAGGCAGCAGCTTAGTCGAGACACTGCAGAAATGCTAAACCAGCTACATATCAAAAGTAATGGATGTATGATGTACCTTGAAAAAGTCTTAGATGGAGTCGCGAACAATTTCATACAGCTGAAGGAAATCTCAGATATACCTGGGACACTAAATGGACTGTACCTGTGGCTTTGTCAGCGTCTGTTTATCAAGAAACAGTTCACAAGGATAAGACCAATTTTCAATGTCATGCTGGCAGCACAATGTCCACTGACAGATTCAGAACTCTATGCGTGCACAAGGACTCAAAACACAAGCCTTACAGAAGTAGACTTCCAAGAGAGACTTGTGAAAATGGGACAACTCTTGGTGCGAGGAAAGGACCAGAGACTTCTCATCTTCCATTATAGTTTTGTGGAGTGGCTCCTAGATGTAAAACACTGCACACGGAAATACCTGTGCAGTATGGCAGAGGGGCATGCCATGATCGCCATGAGGTACTCGTGTGAAGCTCCAAATCTCACCCCAGCACAGGTGCAAAATTTTGCTGCTAATCTCCTGCAGGCAAAATTTGTGCCTCCATTAGAGCCCCACCACCTCACTCTGTGGCTGATGTGGATGGGTACTCCACTGAAAGACTGCCTAATGAGCTCAACACCTAAAAGTCAACAGGTGTTGCAACTGCTTGTGTCAGCAGGGGCAAAGGTGATAGATCTGGATGAAAGTTCTATTGCCCTCCAGGATGCACTTGACAGGGAAGATTCTCTCAAGACCTTACTTGAGAGTGGTGCATCTATCAATCAGGTGGATAGCAACGGGCGTTCGCTTCTTGCCAATGCTGCGTACTGCGGCAATTTAAGAGTGGTGAAGTTCCTACTGGCCAGAGGTGCAGACTCAACAATAACTGACAGGACTGGTCAGACTGCATTGGGACTGGCTGCCCGACAGGGGCACTGTGAAGTTGTCAGTGTACTCATTGAATATCATGCTGAACTGGACCATGTAGATCATGATGGCTGGACACCACTACGTTCAGCAGCATGGGCTGGACATGCTGATGTTGTAGCTGCTCTTTTGGCTGCTGGGGCAAAAGTGGATTGTAGCGACACTGACAAACGAACTGCACTACGTGCTGCAGCCTGGGGTGGCCACTGTGATATTGTAATGAATCTAGTAGAACACGGTGCAGATGTTAACCAGGCTGATAATGAAGGGCGCACACCTCTCATTGCTGCAGCTTACATGGGGCACAAGAAGATCATTGAATATCTACTAGATAATGGTGCTGATATCAATCACGTGGACTGTGATGGCCGCACAGCACTCACTGTTGCTGCAATGTCAGTGGCTGTCAGCCAAGGCCACACAAGTGTCATTACCCTTCTCATTGAAAGGGGAGCAAGTGTCGATCACAGTGACAATGAAGGTATGTCTCCACTGATTGTTGCTGCCAGCGAGGGACATCAGACAGTTGTCGAGCTCCTTCTTGAAGGTGATGGTGACATCGATCACACAGACAATAACAATCGCACTGCATTGATAGCTGCCTCTAACATGCGCCACACTGATGTTGTCAAGACACTCCTTTACTGGGATGCAGCTGTGGATACAATTGATAATGAAGGCAGAACTGTTCTCTCAATCGCTGCTGCTGAGGGCAATGCAGAGGTTGTACGCATGCTTCTTGACCGTGGCCTGGATGAGATGCATAAAGATCATCATGGTTGGACTCCACTTCACATGGCTGCTTATGGAGGCCATAGAGAAGTCTGTAGGGTGTTTCTCAGCCAGACTAGTCATGTTTCTGTTGACATAATGGACAGAGATGGAAGAACACCACTGACTCTTGCAGCTCAAGAGGGCAAGCTGGAGACAGTAAAGGAATTACTTAACTACAATGCAAACATTCACCACACTGCTCATGATGGACGCAGTGTTGTCAGAGCTGCTGCATTGGAGGGTCATCAAGAGGTTGTCCGGCTACTCATTGAGGGAGATGCAGATATCAATTACAAAGATGCAGAGGGTAGGTCCACACTGTATATGCTTGCTCTAGAGAACAAGGTCCTCATGGCCCATTTCTTGCTGGAATGTGGTGCAGACACAGAAAACCCTGATTTTGAAGGGAGAACACCTCTTCATGTAGCTGCCTGGCAGGGTCACACAGAGATGGTCAATGTACTCCTAAGTTTTCATGCAAACCCAAATGCAATGGACAAAGAGAAGCGTTCTGTTCTGCAATCAGCTGCATGGCAAGGACATGTTATGGTAGCCAATTCTCTTCTGGAAAAGGGAGCAAATATAAACCACACTTGTAATCAGGGTGCCTCTGCACTTTGTATAGCAGCCCAAGAAGGTCATGTAGATGTTGTGAAGTGTCTCCTTGAGCATGGAGCAGATCCAGCCCAATCTGACAAACATGGTCGGACGGCCATGAAGGTTGCCCTCAAAGGTGGCCACCAAGCCATCATCAAGCTCTTGGAAAAGTGTGGAGTGCCAAATCCACTCTCTCCATTGCCATCAAGAGCTGCCCATAATCGGAAAAATTGTTGCGGAACAGGTGGTTCTTCGTCTTCCAATCAGAGCAGTGAAAATGCAAAGACCATTTCATCCAGCATGTTGACCAATGGTGGGCTGATGCAAGCTAGTTCTTCATCTAACTCCCCTGATTCCACCTTTGACCAGAGAAAATCCTCTGTATCCAACCAGTCATCCAAGTCTTCATCAAATCTAACATCAGTTTCGACTGTTAATTCAACCTTACATCTCCATCCACCGAAGGAGAACAGCCAGCGAAGTTCAACCTTTACAGAGGTACTACAGCATCTGGCCCCTCAAAACAAGAAGAGGAGTGGAAGCTCCCATGGCAGAGCACCAGAGTCCTGCAGAAATCAGTCTGTGTTGGCAAAGGTTACACCAGCTTCCTCCTTTCAGACCATACCTGAGAATATTGTAACAACCCACAGCACTGACAAAACACAGCCTGGAAGTTCTAAGTCTCACACAGGTGCTGTGCAGTCTCCAAGAAGATCACCATCTCCTCATATCTCCTCCAGGTCTACCTCTCCAAGCCTACAGCCATCCAGCCCACTGTCTCAAGCCTCACTTCAATCTCCGGTCCGGATGTCGCCACAAACATCGCCATCACATTGCCATTATCACAATAACAACAAACCAGTGTTTCCCTTCCAGAATCCTCAGTGTACATCACAGGTAGCAGTAGAAGTACACAGTAATCCAGAGATCAGATCTGCCTCACCACAACCTAGAATGGGAGTTCACAAATCTCCGAAATTTGAGAGAAAAGCAAGGTCTTCCTCTTTAAGAGAAAAAAAGATGGCTAATCATCAGGCACCTCCCCAGAATGGCCACAATCACATCAATGGCCAGCCTCCCTATCAACCCTTACCACAGGGTCACCAGCATCAGTCACTGCAACACATCTCAGCCATCAATGGGAATCATCACAATTCATGTCAGATGCAGTCCCAGGGTTTTCATCCATTCTACTCCCCTCCAAGCCAACGCAGGTTCCAACCCTCTGTGCAACCCCAGTGTTGCCTCAGGACTGGTGCACAAACCCTTGAACAATCTCCTGAGAACAGACCCCATGGAGGGCCTGCCCACCATCGCTCCAACTCGCAGCCCGTCCACATGATGGAGTGTCACTGTCATGAACATGTGCACTTCCAGCGCAAAGCATCCCTACCTGTATCCTTCAATCAGATTAACCTGCAGCGAGTACTCTCGGCAACACCAGCAGCCCCTGGTTCACCAGAAACAAGACCAAGACGAAATGGTATTGTGACCAATCCTAACTATAAGAACTATCACAACAAAATGGGACTTCATGGGAGTCAAACCATGTTGACGCAACAACCGAGCATCATCACAGGTGACAACCACAAAGGTCTCTCTGCTTTGGAACTTAAGCAAGCTATGAAGACCAGCTTTGAGGGATCATGCAGGAATGGATACAAAAAGGAAACACCATTGTAATTGTTGGTGAGTAACATATCAGTCCTGTTTTTCAAGACACTCTCTATCATTGGCACACACATGAAAGAAAAACATGCAGAAACTACCAGGTAAAATGAGAAGATCCATAAGTTTTGCTACTTATTCATTCAATGTACATGTATCTAAAAACCACTTGCACTATAAGAAGCAGCCACATCTGGCACTGCGAATGTATTCTCTCTCTCTCTCTAAGTGTATTGCCACAATTTACAAAAATGCCACAATTATTACATGTACTGTACATGTACATTCAAAATTGAAGTTAAAATTGACTTTTTAACCAATCAAATCATTAATATTTCAGTTTTACAAAATAAGGTCAAGAAGTCTTTTTAAATCAGCACCAACAACTTAAGAGTGAAACCGGGGGATACTCTTTGGCTAAAATGCTTCAGGGTGTAGGTTTTATTCGTATTATTCAGTTTTACCATGCATGTATGGCAACTGCAACTCATCTGCATCATGATCTCAAGTTTAAGACTAGCCACGAATGATTTGTGCCTGAAGCAGTTTCATAAAGCTTTCTTTATCTGGGACCAGATCAGGAGGGGGAAAATTCATCTATTGGCTGTTTCCCATGAGGGACTTTGATGACAGTCTCAGGGGCTTTATCCAACCCAACGTCTGTCAAGTCTTGTCCATTTAATACATCACTGCCAATTATGTTCAGCAGGGAAGTTAAGCATTGATTTAATTTTGTGTTGTCTATAGCAGGAGGAAACAAGATGCACATTTGGATGTGAATTTTATATTAAAATTCACATTTGATTCTGTTGGCAGCATTTGAGGGCTTTTCGTCAAAGTGATAACAGAAAAATTTTGCAAAACATTGAGACTTCAGTCACATTCACTATCGTAGTACATACAGAGAAAAAATAAAACGTACATACTGCTTTCTGTCCGTAGTCATGACCGCACAATCCCTTTAATTACATGCTACAAATACACACAGTCTGACACAAATGCTTGTCCCAAAAGCATTAAATTGGCTTCTCAATCACGATGCGTGTGTTAGCATGTACATGTATTTGGCATTTCATAGGTTTCTAATTGCTTTCCAAATGCAATGTACACTAAGGCACATGTAAATGTACCCAGGGTGGGAGTTTCCTAATGGCAAACCAAACACAGACCTTGCTCTGAGCCAGGGAAAGCAGATCTCATGACCTGAAGTGTACATGTAAGTTGCGAGTGAGGTGGGAACTTGCTCAGCAGTTAGCCAAAAATTTGTGCCTGCTTATGAGTGGCATTACATGTACTGTACGTACATGTACATCTAGGTTTACCTCCTTTGTATACATTATAGCATACAGTTATACAATTAATGCACATTTATATACGTAGACGTAGGTTTTTCATTAATGGCAAGCATTATTAGTATACCTTCCATTCTGAATTTATGTGGTATTTCTGGGTTTGTTTGTTTGTTTTTCATTTAAAATGCATTGTTGATGCCTGATGCAGATGCTCTTTTTAGAAGGCAGGAGGGGCAAAGGTAGTTGGTTTCATGCTACAGTATTAAAGTTAATATTACTGATAAGAGCTCTGAGTAGCAGGTGTGTTATGTCAATGATAAAAAGACCCAGTATTGGCATAGAACACCCTCTGCTGGGATTGCCAGTGGGCACACCTAAAGATAACACATGTAGCTCATTTGTTTAGCCCTTTGCCTCTTTTGGGAAAGTTCAAGTAGTATTAGTTGGGGGCAGCTTAGAAGTGGTAGACACTGAGATTTTACAAATACGGGGTTGGCTCGTTCTTTCACACTAATGCCGTTCATGTACGAAGAATAAATAGAATTAAGAGCTTGTTATATTGTGTTTCTCTCTGAACACTTATGTACATGTACAGTGTATAAAAAGCAAACATGCAAAAGAAGGAAAGTCTTCAGAAATATTCAGTACAGAGTTTAGAGTTAACATTCAATTTGCCACACCTCTTTAAGTTGCAAAACTTTGAATTACAGGCCATTCACCCCTGGTTTTCCTTAGAACTGCAACTAGATTCACATGTGCATTGAAAAAGCTGAACAATAAGTGCAAGGGCACCACCAGTTCCATAATTTATAATCAGGATTGAAGCCTGATTCCTTCGAGGTCAATTGACTTCGGCATTATTCTGTCACCTTGTAAGTGCTCAAGTGGCATATTTGTCTTATTTTTTTCTTTTGCCCCAGTTACGGACAGGACACTGCACACAGGAACACCAGTCTCAATCCAAGACCCTGGGAATATCTACCAACTCCTGCCCTGTGTAGCTCTTCCCCAAGGTTCAACATCTCCCCTTCAAGGTTCGGTGGAAGCAACAAGCAACCCTTTGCCTTTGTGAACCTCAGTAAGCTAGGACAATCAGCATGTTTAGCTTAACTTGCCATGGTGAAGACAGGGCAAACCCCATTTTGTTACTCTAAGGACACTTCACATCCATAACACAGACATAACTTCAGGTAATACCTGTACCGCGGTCATCAAAACCACTGGAAATGTTTTCTCATGCATTAATCTGTGAATAAGAGATGTAATTTATTGTATTGGTAATTGTTTGGGAAGGCAATTTTTATTATGCTGCAGTGTCACATCTGATTATAGCGGGTTTGTCAAAGACCTCATTCATTGCCTTGAGACCTTTTCCCAGTGGCCTTTTCCGCCATGGTTTAGTTAAAATTTGTTGGCACAAAATTGTGATGCCTTTCATGCAAAATTAATTTGCCACTAAATTGTTACTTTTGCTGCATGGGAACACAAAGGCGTGTACACTTAAATTTCATGAATCTCAGATTGTACAAAATAGGTCATGTACCGTATAAAAATGCATGTGCAAGACAAGTTTTAGAAATGACCTGATTTTAGACACAGCCAGTTTATCACATTGAAATGACCTATAAATTTCAAGTGGGTGATTTATACAAAGTGTATATAAATTTGTACATAACTTTAACACTTTCACTTCACATTTCAATTTCACTGAAGGTCTTGTTAATGCAACATGTGAATTACAATTTTGGAAATCTGTAAAATTATTATCATTGGTAATGTAAGGAGCCAATGCGTCACGTGTTGCATGTTTTGTCAATACAGGAGTCTGGTTCCCAATAGCTACAGTATGCGAATTATTCAATAGGCTTTGTACAGTCTCAGGCCCTTTAACGACAGGAATGAGAAAGCCATGTGGTTGAAGCACCTCTGTACCAGTTCTGCATGTACATATTTGATAAGTGGCACGCATTGTGCATTATAGAGTTTTATGTACATGTATGTATTTAATTAACAGGTGTAGTTCAATATTCACGCATTACCAACTTGATCTCAACACATTCTCTAGCCTGATACTAGCCTGATTTTGGCATTTCATGCATCTTTCAATGTCAGTGTGATGGTGACCACATGCAATGTGCACGCTACATTATCCTATCCAGTACCATCAACTTATCTTCTATTATTCATGTTTATTGTAAACTTAGCAATGAAAATGACCTTTCTGTCCTTAAATTTCTGTGGAGATGAAGGTGAAGGGTTTCATGTATTATATAGTGTACAGAGAAGTTTATGCGTGCATTTATTCAGGGGCAAGTGTACATGTTCATGTGTGTTTATTTGTAAGTAAATTGTACATGTATCAAGAGCTTTATAGGATAAAAATATGCCCACTTGTGACCTGTCATGTTTCATTGAGTCAAAAGTTGATTCTTAGTTTGAAAACTGAATAACCATTGCTGTATATTACTGTGTGTTAAGCAGTCGTGATATACAGCATGATAGATTGATCTATGCAAAGTCTGGCAAATGTTCACTTGAAAAGCTATCGCTTGCCATTGCACTTTAAACCACTCCAAGCATCCTTAGAACCGCAGCTCAAAAATCAACAATCAGCAACTTTTGACTAAGTGCAGAAAGACTGGGGTCATATTCACATGGACAATGTGGTGGGGACTGAGAAGCAAAAGATGCTTGCCAATATGTAGTGTTTACAAGAGGGGGCCTTTACAAAACTTTTATTGATTAGTGTAGGTAGCCTTTTATGCTTAGGGCTTCTTACTGATGTGTTATTGATTGGGATCTGGAGAAAAACAAATTTGAATCAGCCTCAAGCAAGGTATTCTGGCAGGTCTTTAGTAATGAGCGCTTGTTTGGCAAGCTTGCGAGGTGGACTCTCACAGTCTTTAGCTGTTTACCATTAAGATATTAAAACTTCAAAAGTTGCCGCAACTGCAAAAGTAAAGTTACCTTGGTAAGTTGTTGATGGAAATCACTATGCTTCATTAAACCATGTTTACACGTATGTTTACAAGCAAGGGCAGACATTTCAACAGAAAGTACTTCATTAATTTACTAACATTGGGTAATTGAGATAAATTTTCTGTATGGTAATGATGTATACACTTACATTTTCTGTATGGTAATGATGTATACACTTACATGTACTTTGATGTTTTATCTTAAACAGCAAAACCAAGGTAGTCTAGGCCTTCATTCACAGTCAGTTGAACTGTTCAACTTTGAACCAAAGAAACAGTAGGCCCCCTAATAATTAATTTAATGAGAAAATTCACTCCAAAGCAGTGAACCAAATTCATAGAACTTGATTAAAACAAATTTCTTACAGATAATGCACTGTGTATTCGGTCATGCAGTTGAAAATTTGTTTGCATTTACTCTAAAACTGATTAGTTGGATTTTGAGAGTGAGAATTACAGCCTTGTAATCAAAACGTAAATTTATGTAGCCTTCTTAAAGTCCATCAAACCTGTATGTATTTACATACAAGTGTGCAGTCATCTGATAATTCTGATTAAAATCATTCAAGTGTATACTGAGTTAGACTTTTTCTCAAAAAATCGATCAAACGTGGCAATAACATCAAATGATATTACCCAGTTTCATGCCAAATAAAGTCAAGTTGTCAAAGCAATTGTGCATTCCCCCTCTCAGACAAGTCAACATGGTTGCAGTTTCTCACTGTTTGTCACTTTTACGGTTAATTTTTCAAAGTGTATGGGAAACCTTGTCACATTTTCATCTGAAAGCCAGATGGCCTCACCACCAAGTGAGATTGGAATCTAAGGAATTCAGGGAAACACCTGGCTGGTTGCACAGACTAAAACGTAGGCCTATATTTGTGTTGTACTGTTCAGATACATCTGATCTTGATTGCAAAGTCCTGGTCAGTCTGAGGTTACAGAGGGAGGGGGTAAATCAAGATACGTCAACCAGAAGCTCAAAATGGGAGGGAATATTCTGCTGGTTTTTCTTCCATGAAATTTAATGCTTTGTATGTTCAACCATGGACCAGCAAGGCAGTTCATTATGCAAGTCTGTTTTAATTTCATGCCAAGATTTGAAATAGGTTCTATTAACAACAGCTTGAAAATGTCTTTCAGACTTATGATAAACCATGTTTATGTATTGTATGTACAAACACTTGGTCAACTCAAACATTCCTTAGAAAATATGAAGTTTAAAATCCTGGTGTCTGAATTACAACAAAGAAAGTTCAATTACATGCAAGTGCTACATAGGTGTTTGTGAACTTGTGACCCCAACAGCAGATAGTGGTGATGACCACATTATGAAGACTAAAGTGATGATATGACACCTGTTGAGCTCCATGCATAAAACCTTTTTAGCAAATCTCAAGTATTTTATTACCTAATATTTTTTAGATAACTGGTCACAATGGATAAAATGGCCTCCGCTGGATTTCCATTTGGAGAACATTTTGTGTTAGTAGTCTTAAGGGTATTAAGTCTGGTCACAATACTCATGGGTGCAGTTTCAGGGCTCTTAAAATACCATGTCTTTGATCAGTTAATCAATTACCAAACTGAAGTGAACTTGGGACACTTTCAAAAGAGAGAGGTGTGTCTATTGTTGACATGAAGGTCATTTTCAGCCTAGCAATAATACCCTCAAAGTGGACTTCACCTTTTGTTCAGGGATTAATGAGCCTAAGCTTTTGGATTCCAAGTAAAGGGACCTGACAACACAACAAAGTGTTGAAGGACCTGTCTTTGATCACTTTATAATAACCCCAACAAATGCAGTGTTGGTAATTTATAAAACATCATGACTCACTGAAATTGTCAAATTGTTCTTTTTGTGGCAGACCTTATAAAATTTAAGCCTTGGAAGTTATTGGTAGAAACTTCAGTGATATTTATGCAGACAGAAAGGTGAAATTCGTGCCTCAAGTAGTGTTTACACTTAAGTTAACCTTGCAGACTGATCAAATACATTTGCTCTAGTAGGGTTTTTCAAGCTATTCTTGAATACAGTATCATGAAGTTGATTAGACTGATATTAAAAATGTATGTACTTTTTGTGTAGTACTCATTGATGGCAATTGAAAAAGTGCCCTTGACTAAGACAGTAATCTGGCTGTTTTAAGAGTACAGTTTTGAACAGTATCACATAGATACTTCTGAAATTATTAAATGAACCGGTGTGAAAATGCTTTTCAGGCTAAAGAACTTCCCAAAGATTTACCCAGTTTGAGCAGGGTTCCAGTGTTTTTGCAGACCTAAGGACAGTTTTATAGAGCTGCCTCACCCCTAGAAATTTGCTTTGTAAATTTACTTGCTTAAAGTTGGATGATCATGGCCTTAAGAACTTAACCTGTTTTGATTTACTATAAATCAACAACTTTTGTAAGCTAAGTACCTGTCTAATAAAAATAATGAGCCCTGCTGAAAAGAACCCTGCATGCATCATATTCACTGCGTAAATTACAGCTGATGTACCATGATAACTTGTAAGGCAAGTTACCCATATCCTGAACTGCTTACTGTCTACATCACTGAATCATCATTTAATAGCACACTAAATTTGTTCTTTGGAAACTTTCCTTACAATGTGGTGCTTTTTTGGGCGGATAGACTCTTGGTCTCACCCCATACCAACTGCTTTTTGGTGCCGACAATGGAGTATTATACATGTATCTATAGAATTACTAGATATATTGTAGTCAAGAGTGGATGATATTCTAAAAGAGTATATTTATATATTGGAGTATTTCGCAGAATTCATTCTGATAAGATCTAACATCTTATTTGAAAAAAATTGTAGAAATCATACAACTGAATTGTTGAAGTTTATCTTTATGGTACATGTGCATAATGTAGCTTGTGAAGATGTTGAAAGTACAGTAGTGCAACTGTGATTTGGAGATGCATTGTAAATTTTCTCCTATGTGTAAGTACCTGAATTCCTTCCAAGTTTATGACATTCAAAATATGTTATAAACAAGCTTACTTAGGTATTGCTTTGATA